TTATGTATGAGTGTAGCCCGCATTGAAAGGAGTAAAATAAAGAGATGAATTTGAGAAAGAGGTGCGGCCAATACCTGATAGCTCAAACTTTTGACTTAATCAATTACTAACCTTGCTATTTAAGGCCTATAAACTACTAACATAAACCTCCTCATCATTGTTAAAACTTAGAATGTTTTTTATCACCCTTTCTGTAGCTGGAAGCAATGCTTGATTTTTTATTTGTCCTTAACTTTCGTCGAGTTTTAGATTACCTTCCATAAATTTCAAAGTACTAGAACACCCCCTCCCCCCCTCAAGTTGGGGTTATCAGATAATACTTTTAATTAATTAGAAGCACCTAAACAATGTTATACATAATTTTTACATTGGTAGATAAAATTTTGCAGAAGGATAATTTTTTCTGACAAAAAGTTGAGGTTCATGCTTTTAAGGGATTTTCTTAAATTAAAAAAAGATAGTCTTAAAGTTAAAGGGGGGTTTTTGATGACCCCTAAACTTAAGGGGTAGTTTTCTGGAAGGTATGTATGGGGGTTTATCTAATAATCATTTAAAGTTAAGGGGCGTTTTTGATATTAGTCCCTAAGAATTACTTACCTTCATATGAATATTAAGGATTATATTGACTTGTCTTTAAGATTTTTAACAAACTGTTTCTTATTACTAGCGATCAATTTTGTTATATAGAAATAATGTTTAATTTGATAAATCACTTTACTTTGATTTCTCTTTCCAGGTTGAAGAGGGGTTCTCAATGACAGTGAAGGATCTTCTGAAGAAGCTAAACACAGGTTTCAGAAAGTTCATGTCAAGAGATTGAGGCATTTCTTAGCTAGTGTTTTAGTTATATATTTTCAATACTTAATTAAGGGAGTGGTTGCTTGCATTAAAGTGAAATAAAATTATAAAATGAAACACTTCGAACACTTTTAGTATTATTTTTATGAAAAGTGATTAAAAAAAGGAAATGCAAAAAGTGATTCATATTGGCATTTGACTTCCACTTAACAAGTGCAAATATCATTCTCTGATGCATAAACATTTACGGGCCGGTGCTCTTAAAAATAAAGATTTATTTTGGGTTAAATGTATCCATGGTTAATTATTTGAAGGGTAATTCTAATTAGAATGTAACCTTTGAAATTATATTTCTCTTGAACCTTTGAAATTATATTTGAAGGCCATCATACAATATTTTGATTGGTGATATGGATAAAGTCCCTTGCTTCCCTTTGATATGGAATAAATGCATAATGCCTAAACACTCCATTATCTTTTGGCTAGCATGTTTGGACAAACTCTCCGCTAAAGATAGACTTAAAAAGAAACGCATGGATGTTAGGACTAGTTGCCCTTAGTGTCACTTGCTTGATGAATTAGGAGACTGTTGAGTATCGACGTCGTCGTTGTTTGGCTCAGAAGCCTGCTCAATCAGTCACTGTTCTCTTCACAAGTGCACCACCAAGAACACAAAGGAGGGAGCCTACTGATCTTCTCTCTAAATCACTCACAAAGAGGAAAGTGATCACACAAAGGGGTGAGAGCACAAAGCTCACAGGTGGGGGATCGCACAAGGCTCGGTTTCTTCTCTCTCAGAGACTCTCAACTCTCTCTTCCTCCCTTCTATTCTTCTCCCAGTCTCTCCCACTAAATAGAAAAGGGAAAGCTGACATCGGGAGAGAGGCTAGGGCTTAGGGATTTCTCCCAGTCTCTCCCACTAAATAGAAAAGGGAAAGCTGACATCGGGAGAGAGGCTAGGGCTTAGGGATGTAGGAGCCGACATACAAACGGAGGATGGGACACCAAGACGTAGCGGCACAGGACAAGGGATAGGCAAGGGGCTGCCGACATAGGGATTTTGATTTCATCGGGTAGGGAGAGAGTGCTCAGGTTTAGGGCAAATATCTTGGGGAACTGGGCTTTTTGGCAATGGGCTAGGACTTGGGCCAACAAAGTAGCAACAATCTCCACTTTGGCCCAAGGTAGTGCACAGAGCAAAAACATAGAACTGCAGGACTCATCATCGCCAAATCATTACCTGTATGATCACAAAGAAGATACAAGCAATGGAGGAGAATACACAAAGTAAACTCAGATAACAAAGATCGGGGTAAGATCACCAAGCATACCAAGTCCACAAAGGACCGAACTCTACCAAACGGTCATCGAGTTCAAAAGGAAAAATCGCAAAGCTACTAACAAGCACAAAGCAAGTTAATAGGCCACAAAGGCAACACACAAAACAAAAGAAAATTACCCAAAATCAAAATTCAAGATTCTTTGACACAAGATAAATTTTTCAGCAGGCAAACACTTAGTACCCATGTCAGCAGGATTAAATTCTAAGGGAATTTTCTCTAACTTGACAATACCATTTTCAACTATATCCCAAATGTAATGAAATCTAACATCAATATGTTTAGTTCTATCATGAAAAACAGGATTTTTACAAAGTTGAATAGCAGATTGACTATCAGAAAATATAACCATATTTTTATCAAGAAAACCAATTTCAGATTTAAGGCCCCTAAGCCAAATAGCTTCTTTAAAAGCTTCAGTGGCAGCAACATACTCAGATTCAGTAGTAGATAAGGCAACAATGGGTTGTAATTGAGATTTCCAACTTAAGCAAGAGCCACACAAAGTAAACACATAGGAAGTGGTAGATTTTCTATTATCCCTATCATTTGCATAATTGGAATCTACATAGCCAGCAAGTTTGACACCTTCAGAGCACTTAGAAAAAGTTAATCCTACATCCACAGAGGATTTCAAATATCTTAAAAGCCACTTCAAGCCATTCCAATGAGGCATACCAGGGTTTGATATATATCTACTCAAGCAACTAACCGCATATGCAATGTCAGCCATAGTACTAACCATGAGATACATGACCGATCCTATAGCATTCGAATATGGTACCTTCTTCATATCATTTATTTCAGTTTCAGTATTGGGAGATTGATCCTTACTTAACACAAAATGAGAAGCAATAGGCACATTCACAGATTTGGTATTAGACATAGCAAATTTACTCAAAAATTTTTCAACATATGAACTTTGATTTAAAACTAGAGTAGATTTGTTTTTGTCCCTAATAATATTCATACCTAGGATTCTTTTAGCGTCCCCTAAGTCTTTCATGTCAAAATTTTCACAAAGATATTTTTGAACATGCTCAATAGACTTCAAACAAGGACTAACAATCAACATGTCATCCACATAAATTACAAGAAATACAGGCACAGAGTCTATATTCTTATAATACAGGCAATGATCAGCAAAACTCCTTTTAAACTTTAAAGATTGCATGCATTTATCAAATCTAATATTCCATTGTCTAGGTGATTGTTTTAAACCATACAAAGCTTTTTTTAACAAACACACATGATCAGGCAATTTAGGGTCCACAAAGCCCTCAGGTTGGTGCATATAAATATTTTTATCAAGATCACCATGCAAGAAAGCAGTAGTTACATCCATTTGTTTTAATTCCTAATTAAAATGAGCAACTAAAGCAAGCATAATTCTAACAGTAGTGAATTTGACAACAGGAGCAAAAATTTCAGCATAATCAATTCCCTCCTTTTGAGTAAATTCCTTAGCTACTAACCTAGCCTTAAACCTAACATTTTTAGATTCTTGTTTCACCTTAAGCAGCCACTTACAGTCCACTACATAACAACTAGCAGTTTAGGAACAAGTTTCCATGTTTGGTTAATTCTTAGGGATTCCATCTCACTTTTCATAGCACTAATCCATTCTTCAGAATATTTTGATTTTAATGCTTCTTTATAAGTCTTAGGTTCATTGCACTCAAGGGATTCAAACACATTAAAGGCAAACTCAGACATATTACAATCAATCAAATTGCAATCTCTATATCTTTCAGGTTTCCTAATGGTTTTTTTATTTCTATTCCTAGTGAGTTGATAATCATTCAAATCATGCATGTTATCTATTTCCTGCATATCATGCTCCACCTCATTTGGAATAATCTCATCTTGATTTTCAATAATTGTATCATTCAATTTTTCTTCAGAAAGTGATTTAGGTTGATTAACAATGGGCATTTGCTCCACCTCATTTGGAGCATCATTTTTAGGAATAGGAACATGTAAAGGTAAACAATGAAATTCATTTTCATTAAAAACAACATCTCTGCTTATCACTACCATAAACCCCGGTTCACTCTTATTCCAAAGCCTATAACCTTTTACCCCTTCAGGATATCCTAAGAAAACACATTTCTTAGATCTAGGTTCTAACTTATCAATCTTTTGATGCACATAGATAGCACTCCCGAAAATTCTCAAATTATTTAAATCAAGAGGTTTGCCCGTGAACACAAATTCAGGGCATTTCCCTCCTAAGGGAACAGAAGGAGACCTATTAATCAAATAGGTCGCAGTACAAACAGCTTCTCCCCAGAACTTCTTGGAGAGCCCAGATGTGGCCAATATAGCCCTCACCCTCTCTAAGAGAGTTCTATTCATCCTTTCAGCAACCCCATTCTGTTGGGGTGTGTAAGGGACAGATTTATGCCTTTTAATACCCCAAGTAATACATAAATCATTCAACTGTTTGTTACAAAACTCAAGAACATTGTCTGTCCTAAGAGTTTTAATTTTCTTTCCTGTTTGGTTTTTAATCATAATTTTTCAATTTTTAAATTTATCAAAAACTTCAGATTTTTGTTTCATGAGTAAAACCCAAACTTTTCTAGAATAATCATCAATTATGGAAAGAAAATATTGGTTCCCTCCATGCGTAAGCACACTAGAGGGACCCCACACATCAGCATGCAAATATTCAAGTATGTCAGTGCACTTAGACTGATTAGGAAAAGAAGAAATAGGAAAACTAACCCTATGTTGTTTTCCTAACACACAAGATTCACAGAATGGGATGAGGGATATTTTATCACTACCAAAGTGACCTCCTTTATGCAAAATTTCTAATCTTTTATTACTCATGTGATCTAATCTATTATGCCATAAAACAGATTTATCACCTATCACAGAGTTAACAGAATCAAGCACAGGTTCAGCATGACAAACATACAAATTATTTTGTTTTTCAGCAGTAAAAACAACAAGAGACCCTTTAAGAATTTTCATAACTCCTTTACCTCATTTTCCCTCCAAACCATCATTTTCTAGAGATGCACACGAAATCAAGTTATAACGTAAATCAGGAACATGCCTAACATCCTTCAAAGTAAACACAGAACCAGAAGAAAACCTAAGGCATACATCACCAGTTCCTAAAACATTGCATTTCTTTTCATTTGCCATTGACACAAAGTCATTCTCTATTTTCTTGTAGTTTGAAAACAAATTTTTAAAAGGAGTCATATGAAAAGTACAACCAGAGTCTACCAGCCAATCTGATTTACACAAAGGATCAGATAACACAGAGTTCAAATATGCATAATCACACAGATTATTAATCATGAAAATTTCACCCATTTTGCCCTCACAGACAACCATATTAGCATGATCATTTTGCTGATTTTTCTTAGGTTTAGGGTAATCTTTAATAAAGTGACCAGTTTCATGACAATTATAGCATTTTTTAGCTTTAAATCTAGATTTAGATCTACCCCTTCCATTTTCGAATTTTCTCCTACTTGATTCCTCATTACTAGCATTCTTTTGGTTATTAGACCTATTCTGAGGCCTACCCCTCACATGCATAACCTCACCAGAATTTTTATTTCCCCCAGAATGTTTTAAATCTAATTCCTTACTCTTAAGACCATTGACCACAACATCAAGGGTAACCTCATCTCTACCATATTTAATAGCAGATTTCACATCACTATATGAGTCAGGAATAGCATTTAGAAGGGCAATAGGAGTA